CTTACACTGAGTTGCTTTCTGTTGCTTGATTAAGCCAAACTCATTCCCACCTCAGGGCCTTTGCACATGCTATGCCTTCTGCCTGGAATGCTCAGATCTTCGAATGACATACTCCTCATCCTCAAGTCTCAACAACCAGGGCATCTCCTGAAATAGGTCTGCCCTGACTACCCAACCTCATGTGGACACCCCTCACCCCTTGCTACCCTACCGATCCCACTGGTTTGTTTTTCTCAGTAACATGTAGCACTTAGCACTCTCTGGCATCATCTTGTTCTTTTATGGGTTTATGTGTTATTTTGTCCACGTCTCTCTCCCAGCTCCTTGCAGCCACAGAAGTGGTCTTTCTTATCCATGCTGCATATCCCCAGCAACTAGCAGAGCATTTGGTAATGAAAACATGCCAACAAAATGCGAAGAATTAGAACTTTATCCGAGAGCTTATGGAGCCATTGCAGGGTTCACAGAAGGGCTCTCTATGGCTTGCTTGGATTTTTGCTTCTCTCCTATGGCCTTTCAATACTGTTGTGAGGATTAAAAGCAATGGGATACTCTTTATGGAAAGCAAAAATTCTATTACCGTAGTAAGGCTTATTTTACGTACCATCTAATTCACCCAGTTCTGGTGTGCAGCTCCACTGAGTTTTTAGTGAATTTGCCAGGTTGTGCAACCATCACCCTAAATCAATTTTAGAACACTTTTATCACCCCAAAGAGATCCCTCATAACCATTAACAACTGTTAATCCATATTCTCACCCTGGCAGCCACTAATCTGCTTTTTATCTCTAAAGATTTGCCTTATCTGGACACTTTATGTAAATGGAATCCTACAGTATGGGGCCTTTTGTGTCAGGCTTCTTTCGCTTCACATCATGTTTTCAAGGTTCATCCATGTTGTAGCGTGTGTCCTCCACCCCTTTTTATGGATAAGTAATATTCCATTCCATGGATATACCCGTTTATCCGGTCATCAGCTGATGGACATTTGGGTTGATTCCACTTTTTTATTTGTGGATAAAGCTGCTATGAAGATGCTTGTGCATGAAGAGCAGTTTCCAAATAAAAGTACACTTATCACAACAAGCCCCGAGTAATGTATAGAATTGTTGAATTATTATACTGTACACTGAAACTAATATAATACTGTAGGTTAACTCTACTGGAATTAAAATTAAAATTTAAAAAATGACTTATGACAGACACTTGTTTTAAAAAAAAAAAAAAAGGCACTTTCCAAGCCCTGAACATCTCTCAGCTTGCTAGAGCTTCTGGCATCCCTGTATGAGTTTCACCCCAATGGGCTATGTACCCATGAATGAGACCCTTCCCTTCTCTGCTTGTGTCTCCCCATCTTTCCAGACAGGAGCCTGTGCCCTTTTATGCACAGATATTCTGTGCCTCGTTCACATTCCTGGAAGAGCAGGGGAGTGTGTGGAGGAAATGATAAACAGTTTGTATTTATAGCTGCTGGAGCCAAAGGTGGGCATCCCCGTGATCAACCACCAGAGCCGACAATTAGGAGGAGGGCCTGGCTCCAGCACCCCTGGATCCCACCCTGGGGACTCCCACCTGCTGCTCTCTTCACCCAGAGGACCAAAGCTTCTGCCCCCATTTGGTGCAGACAGGTGGGTTCCAGGATCCAGAATCTCCTCACAGGGAGGGAATCTGAAGACTGCCTCCTAGTCCCTCGTCCTGGCTTTTGCCTTTTTTCCCCGGGTTCCTGGAGTCCTGCCCAAAACTGATTGGGCTCAGATCCCAGGAAAGCAAAGCTGGAAATGCAGAGGCCCAGACAGGGGTTTGAACACGGTTCTGGGAGGACTCCAGGTGCTGGCTGGTCCACATACCGCCCCCCCCCCCGCCCCACCCCTGGGGTCCATCCCGGAGACCAAGTCAAAACTGTTTGTTTGGGTTTCAGGCTGTTTGTGGGATATCTGCTGCTTTAGCAGGCAATGGGGCCCACAGACCTCAGCAACCAGTCCAGGGGCTGGGAGTGGGCGTGATGATAAATTACCTGGATCATAGTTTAATAACGTAACATACATTAAGTAGCTGTTATGTGACAAGTGCTCAATTACTTCCATCTCCATTCTAGAGATAAAAAATGGAGAAATGGAGGCTCAGAGAGGGGAAACGATTTGTCCAAAGCCACACAGCCAGGGAGAATAGTCTCAGGACTCCAACCCAGCTCCCAAACCAGCTCATAAATAAGTATAAGGCTGCAGAGTAATAACAGCGATAAAAGCTGATCTAAGGGCCTTACGAATTCATTGAACTCTCATTGCAGCCTTGCATTGGACACCTCCACCCCCCCCCCCCGCCCCAAATCTTAAGGATAAGGAAACTGAGGCGCAGAGGGTTTAACCCCCACTTGGAAGTTCCCCAGCCAGGAAGAATGGCCCTGACTCTGAAGGCTTCAGCGGGTCTAGGAAAGAAAACAGTCTTATGGGTAGGGCCAGGACGGAGTGCGGAGGGGTGCCTGCATGCAGGGAAGGAGGCTCGCGGTGCTCCGACCCTCCCAACACAACACTGAGCAGCAGACTGCCCCCCCCGCGGGAGCCAGGGAGGACTCTGCCCCCTTTTCTTCCTTTCTAGGCATCTTGGGGCTGGGAGGTGGGGAGGGCAGGGCACATTCTCATTCTCAGGTACAAAGGTGGTGCCTACCTCAGAATAACAGACCCTAAGGACTGTACATAATACAGACATAATATGCAGGGTGCATAATTCATGCCTCTGTCAGCAGAACATCAATTATGTGGGCCTTCCCTGGAGTTGTCTAGGAGTTAGAAACTGGAGCGGGCTTCCCTTGCCAGGCTCTGGGGGAAATGGGACCGCCCAGCTCTTAAAGGAACAGGCTCCCCAGGAATCTGCTCCTTCTCCAGCAGGCTTCCTCCTAGCTGGGGATCAGCGCCTACCTAGAGCAGCAACCTGCAGGGCTCTGCCCGAGGCCCTGGCTGCCTGCCCCAGAAAATCAGAGCCACCCTGTGTTTAGCCCTGTGCTGGTAACCCTGCCTGTATAATCTCCTCGTCCCCCACACTATGATTTATGAGGGGCTAGCTACTGGTATACCCCAGGGTTTCTCAACCTTGGTACTATAGACATTTTGAGACAGATCATTCTTCGTTGCAGGCCTGTCCTGTGCATGGTAGGATTCAGCAGCATCCCTGGCCTCCACCCACTGGCTGCCAGGGGCATCCCTCCCCCCCAGGTCGTGACAACCAAAAATTTCTGTGGCATTTGTCAAATTTTGACCCCTGGGGGTTCAAAATCATCCCCAGTTATGAATGACTGGAATATCCCCATTTCGCAAGTAAGGAAACTGAGGCAAGGGAAGTTTCAATGCCAAGGCCGTCCAGCCAGTAAATGGCAGAGCTGGATTCTACCTCTAGAGCCCACACTTCGAACTCGGGGCTGGAGTTCCCAAAGTATGCCGCCGGAATAAGCATGTACTTATTTTAATGAAGATTTAACACATCTTTCCCTAGCACACAAAACCAGCATCTTTGCAAATGTCATTTCTTAGGACAAGGCTAAAATGGAGGTGAGCAGTGTGTGTTGTTGTTTTACTACTGAGGGAAGAGTAGTACAAGCAGCAAAAGAACACGTACAGTGGGATGTCAGTCCTGAGCGAGACAAAATAGCAATTTGTTAGGGACATATATCTCTCTATTAAAAACTCTCCAGAAAAGAAAAGGGATGAGAAGAAATTGTGGTTACCCCGGGGTGGAGAAGGACCTGCAGGAAATGTTAGCATTACTGTCACATACTGTTTCTTCACCTGGGTCGTGTGTTCCCAGGCGTTCACCTGATTATGGTTTGTAAATATACATAAATTTGATCTACTTTTGTATGTATTGGATATTTCTTTTTATAAAGTGATTACGGAATTTTACTTTTTCAATGAGTGCACATCAAGAATTAAAACTCAAAAGCTTTTGTTTATTATTTTTTTAAGATTTTATTTATTTATTTGACAGAGAGAGAGACAGCAAGAGCAGGAACACAAGCAGGGGGAGTGGGAGAGGGAGAAGCAGGCTTCCCGCCGAGCAGGGAGCCCGATGTGGGGCTCGGTCCCAGGACCCTGGGATCATGACCTGAGCCGAAGGCAGTTGCTTAACCAACTGAGCCACCCAGGCGCCCCCAAAAGCTTTTGTTTAAAGGACACAGGATTCGTTGGAAACGTATAGCCGGAGAAGTGTGACATTTGGGAACCTGTGGCAGGAGAGGCCCAAAGAGAGAGGTCGGAGTAAAAATGTAGGCTTGACAACCCTATGTGGTGAGTGGAGATTCATTACAGAAAAACGGAAGCCTCTCGAACTCACCCGGGCAGCAAGGGCACTGGCCGATGGGATATAGCAGGCCATTTCGGGACAGGGCAGGAAGCAAAGACCAGCTGGACTACCCGGAGGCTGGGCGGGCTAGGCCGATGGGATGGTGTGGACTGAGAGACCTCCCCTGTGAGGACGGCTAGCGTTCATCAGACACTCTGTGTGCACAGCTGGAAGCTCTCCTAAATGCCTTGCACGTGTTAATGCATTTACCCCTTGTAGCAGCTCTCTGAGGTAGACATTTATTTACCATCCCATTTTGCAGATGAGGAAAATGAGGCTTAGAGTAAACAACTGGCTCAAGGTAAGAAAATGGCAGAGCTGGGATTCGAACCCAAAACAGCCTGACACCAGAGCCCAGGCTCTAAATTGCCGCCCCCATACCCTCTTTCAGATCTCCTGTGTCCTCACTGCTGACTCCCCCCGCCCCGCCGCCCCGAGGCTGGAATAATTAGCTTTAAATCATTGCAGTCTCTGGGCTTTGGTTTGTACATCTGTACAACAAATGGATTCAAATAAATGATCTTTTTAGCTCAAACATCCAGGCATTAGATGACTGTTGAGATGTGAAAATGCTCTTGAATGTTGAGGAGCATTCTGCGGACGCACGGTTGTTAGGATGATCATCCTATGGGTGGTTGGTAACTAAATCCCACTCTCTTCTCCTTGCAGATCCTTGCCATAATTTCCATCATGTTCATCGTCCTCTCCACCATTGCCCTGTCACTCAACACGCTGCCCGAGCTGCAGAGCCTGGACGAGTTCGGCCAGACCACAGACAACCCCCAGCTGGCCCATGTGGAGGCCGTGTGCATTGCATGGTTCACCATGGAGTACCTGCTGCGGTTCCTGTCCTCACCCAAGAAGTGGAAGTTCTTCAAGGGCCCACTCAATGCCATTGACTTGTTGGCCATCTTGCCATACTATGTCACCATCTTCCTCACCGAATCCAACAAGAGTGTGCTGCAGTTCCAGAACGTCCGTCGTGTGGTCCAGATATTCCGCATCATGCGTATCCTCCGCATCCTTAAGCTCGCACGCCACTCCACCGGCCTCCAGTCCTTGGGCTTCACCCTGCGGAGGAGCTACAATGAGCTCGGCTTGCTCATCCTCTTCCTCGCCATGGGCATCATGATCTTCTCCAGCCTTGTCTTCTTTGCTGAGAAGGATGAGGATGACACCAAGTTCAAAAGCATCCCAGCCTCTTTCTGGTGGGCCACCATCACCATGACGACCGTTGGGTATGGAGACATCTACCCCAAGACTCTCCTGGGGAAGATTGTTGGGGGGCTCTGCTGCATTGCAGGGGTCCTGGTGATTGCTCTTCCCATCCCCATCATTGTCAATAACTTCTCTGAGTTCTACAAGGAGCAGAAGAGGCAGGAGAAAGCAATCAAGCGGAGAGAGGCTCTGGAGAGAGCCAAGAGGAATGGCAGCATCGTGTCCATGAACATGAAAGATGCTTTTGCCCGGAGCATCGAGATGATGGACATCGTGGTTGAGAAAAATGGAGACAATATGAGTAAGAAGGACAAAGTGCAAGATAATCACTTGTCTCCCAACAAATGGAAATGGACAAAGAGGACACTGTCTGAAACTAGCTCAAGTAAGTCCTTTGAAACCAAGGAGCAGGGATCCCCTGAGAAGGCCAGATCATCTTCTAGTCCTCAGCACCTGAATGTCCAGCAGTTGGAAGACATGTACAATAAGATGGCCAAGACCCAATCTCAACCCATCCTCAATACCAAGGAGTCAACAACACAGAGCAAACCAAAGGAAGAACTTGAAATGGAGAGTATCCCCAGCCCTGTAGCCCCTCTGCCCACGCGTACAGAAGGGGTCATAGACATGCGAAGCATGTCAAGCATCGATAGCTTCATTAGCTGTGCCACAGACTTCCCCGAAGCCACCAGATTCTCCCACAGCCCTTTGGCATCACTTCCCAGCAAGACTGGGGGCAGCATGGCCCCAGAGATGGGCTGGCGGGGAGCTCTGGGTGCCAGTGGTGGTAGATTTGTGGAGGCCAATCCCACCCCTGATGCTAGCCATCGCTCTACCTTCTTCATTGAGAGCCCCAAGAGTTCTCTGAAGACGAACAACCCCCTGAAGCTCCGAGCACTTAAAGTCAACTTCGTGGAGGGGGATTCCAGTCCATTAGTCCCTGTTCTGGGGATGTACCACGACCCTCTTAGGAATCGGGGGGGCGCTGCAGCTGCTGTCGCTGGACTGGAGTGTGCCACACTCTTGGACAGGCCTGTACTGAGTCCAGAGTCCTCCATCTACACCACAGCAAGTGCTAGGACGCCCCCCCGATCACCTGAGAAACACACAGCAATAGCATTCAACTTCGAAGCAGGTGTCCACCAGTACATTGATGCGGACACAGATGATGAGGGGCAGGTGCTCTACAGTGTAGATTCCAGCCCTCCCAAGAGCGTCCACATGAGCACCAGTCCCAAGTTCAGCGTCGGGACAAGATCAGAGAAGAACCACTTTGAAAGCTCCCCCTTACCCACCTCCCCTAAGTTCTTAAGGCAGAACTGTATTTACTCAACAGAGGCATTGACTGGAAAAGGCCCCAGTGGCCAGGAAAAGTGCAAACTCGAGAACCACATCTCCCCCGACGTCCGCGTGTTGCCGGGAGGAGGAGCCCATGGAAGCACACGGGATCAGAGCATCTGAGCTACCCCACCTGCAACAGAGACTTGTGGCAAGACCTGAGAGGTGTGCCGTTCAGCTTCCCTGCCGCAGAGCTTTTCCGCACGAACTCAGAAAGGCTCTGCAAAGCCCCCAGACAGAAGCGAAACTCCAGGGGAGGCTCCCTAGGGCCTTGAGAGCCATGACAGGTATGACCGAATGAAGTCGGCCAAGCCACAGGATGTGGCGTCTCCTTGTACCAAGTCCACTGCCCTCTTTGGGAGATGACATGGGCAGAACTCACAGCCACCACTACCACATGCTGGACCTAACCAAGGCCACCTCCTCCCCACTCGTCTGTCATGGCTCTCCATCACAGCCTCCGGGGGGAGGGCAGCATCTCGATCCCTCCAGGCTTCAGCTGGAGAAGGATGCCGGAACAAGTGGCTGGGTTGACCAATTTGGTTTTGGGTGTTACCTGGCCACCTCCTGGAACTCCTGTCCATCACCTCCTGGATGGATCCCACTGTTAGAAAGCTACAGAGGATACTCGTGTCATGGGGAAATTTCCACACCATCAGCCACGATCCCAGCGCAAAACCCTTACTCAAATGTCTTCATTGACTTCAGTGTTCCATAGTACCTGAGATTTTATTTTGAGATATCATCAGGGTGAGTTGCACCACTTGTACTTGATTCTAATTGCCCCCTGGCAATCTGGGAAGGGTTCAGACGGCAGGCACTCAGCCAACAGTATGAACGGTGAGCATTGCTTTAGGGTTGTTAGAAGGAAAACACTTTCTGTACATCACTAGTGTAGACTCAAAAGATATGCAAGTGTCAAATATGCAAAAGAAATAGCTTATTCAAAGAGACTGTATGTTACTGAAGAACAGAATAAAATCTGATTTTTTTTTTTACCTGCAAAAATGGAAGGAAAAAAGAAATCCCCAATTGAAATGCCCAATTCAGACTTTTGAATACTTCCTGCTGCAGCAGGGAAAGCATCTACTATAATAGAAATTCTTTTTTGTTTCCTGTGGTATTCAAGTTTTAAAAAAAAGTTAAAATAAAAAGCACTTTATGTTTTTCAAAAATAGGTTCTACCAGGGACAGTGTCAACATCTTGCACTTTAAAACAAGCACTATTTCCCGTGGGCCACTTTTCGGGACTACAGTTGGGTTGTTGGTACATGCCTGTGTCCAGCCACGGTGGGGGATATTGTGCTGGTATTGCTGTCTGCCATGTCAAAGTCTGTGGGCTCCTTCCCTGCCCCTCTGACGCTTCCCATTAGGTCCCTTGCAAGGAAGGGTACTTGAGCCCTTGAGCGGGGCCTCTCACAGAGTCACGTGTACCGGAAGCATGCACATCTCAGAAGAATACAGTAGACGGTGGGCATTGGGTGTTTACTCTGTTCTCTTTCTTGTCAACCAGCTGTTGGTGTGTTTTCAGTGTCACTGTCTGTACTAAAACTCAGCTCTCCTTCCTGCAGCCATCAATGCAGCCAGTACAGACAAAAGCAATAAGTATTTGTGTGCATTGTGAACGGTTCTGGTGTATTTCTTGGTGTTGGTCTTCCTGTTCTAGTTTGACGACCTGGCGTTGGCCTGCATGAATTGGGTCCAACAGGATGGAGTTGTTGGCCATTCCTCGGTTCAGAAACATTGGGTTGAGCCACTGGTTAGCATGATGCCATGCTGTTGGCCCATCTGTCAGTAAAGATGACTTGTCATTGATCTGCCTGTCTTTAGTACAATGGACCGATGTCATTCTCTTAATACAACATTGATGGATGATGCCCCACGTACAGTAGTGTAGATCTGCCAATCCACAATCCAGTGACAGGCATACGTCTTCCTGATGGAACAAACATGGCATGGTTCGCCAGTCCTTCATACAAGGTGTTACTGGTCTGCCTGTTAGTATAATGGCACGAATCCATCTGTCAGTTCACAAATATCACGGAGTTGTTCCGCCTGCCCTCCAAACAGTGGCATGAGGTTGAACCACCTGTCACAGGTATGATGACACAGAGTCATTCCACCGCCCTTACAAACACCTGTTCTCTGCTGAATCCGTACCTGGTTCATATTGCTTCTCAGCGTCTCCGAGGACTGTGGATCCCTTCAAGAAGGTGCAGTCCTGTTCTTTGCCATATTACCCAACAAAACGATGCCGAAGTATCCTGACGCTCCGAAGTATCTTCAGAGCACCCTGGCAGCAATGGCAAAGGGGCAGGGAAAGTGTGAGGTCATCCTGTGCTGGCGGCACGCCAGAGAGAGGAGGCAGCAGTGGCCCTGAGCCCTTTTTGGGGCACACAGTGCGGGCTGGGGGCCTCCTGAGGAGCGGCCGCTGGACAGTTGTCCCTGGGCCATGTCAGCTCACGTGTCTCTTCCTTGTTTTTATCACCATTTCCGTCGGCCGTCAGCACAAACGTGAAAATTCAGGGAAAACAAATGCTTTTTGATAAAAGTAAATAGTTGTGATTTCCGATTCAGATATTTTTAGAGCTGATGCTATCTGTAAAAATTAATAATAATAATAGAGTCTATTTTACATATCAGGAAAGTGAACATGTTTAAATATAGCCATATATAGCGAGAAGGAACTTACCACCCCTTCTTCAAATCAAGGCATTTCATTTGTTGGTTGAAGCAGATGAGAAGTGTACAGATTGGATATGACTTCTTTCTTTCTTTTAAACTAATAACCAATTGGTGCAACTCTCCTTGTAACCAAAGGCCCTTTCTGCCTTGTGTGGTCACACAGGACCTGGCCCTCCCTTCCCCATGTAGTTTGTCTGACCTTAAAGTAGCATTTTATGGAGTCACTTTTGAAGGACGAATTCAGAAGTATCATTAAGAACCTACCTTTTCAGGCTTACTAGCCAGAGTCCTATAGAGTTCTTATAGAAACAGAATAATTGAAACTCAGCATATACTATGCTTAGAAAGTATTGCATTTTGTTTTGTTTTTTTCTTTCACTTGTGTATGTATTGTGGGAATATAGCTTTTATCCTGTGCCCAACTCAAAATAGAGTATCGTAAGTTTTCCCAGGCCCCACCTGCCAAAAATGAACATACCCCAATTTTTAATATGTGTACACCCCTACCTATACCTGTGTACATGCACTGGGAAATCTACCTAAGAGTCTCCACTGAGAAGCTGACCTTGACAGATCCTCATAGAGGAGAGGAAAGCATGGTTTGGAGGCAAATACCACTTTAACTCGGTGATCCATGTCCCACCCATTCCTGAACCAATGAAAATGGGAAACAAACAAACAAACAAACAAAACAAGTCAACCCAAAGAAACCAAACTAGGGGCTGGAGCGGGTGAAGGCCTGGTCCCTTTGGTGAATTTGGTGAAACTCGTCAAGAACCCAGCAGACCTTGGCTTCCAACTTCCACCATTATCAGTAAGGGCTAGGGACCAGGTCCCCGTGTGATCGGGGTAGTCTGCGACCTGTGGAGAGAGGTGGGCGAGCTCTGGAGGAGTCGGCTTTTTCACTTTTTTTTTTTTTTTTTTTAATCTTTGGGGTAAGAAAAACAACAGGACTTCGGTGCAGTAGATTTCTCAGTGCCTTCTTTAGGAATTTTATCTTAAGCACACTTAATGGGGAAAGAATAAAAGAGGACAGAACATTTGTCTCCATGAAGTCCCTTTCTCTAAAAGCACTGGGGATCAAGAAGGACGAAGACTGGGGAACAGCAAAATTCTGAGGAGGCCTTTCCTTTCAACTCCCCCGGCTTGCCCCCGAGTAGTGCTGGTGACAACAAACTTTGCCAAACTGATGACCAGCTCTCCTCTACCACGTCTCAGTGACTGTAGCTTCACCCCTGACCTTTCTCCTAATGAGACCCACTCTTCTGAGGAGAAAAACAACAACAGTATTCTCTTCTTTAAAACTGTGATGTATTGATGTTTGTAACTATTGTACATTTCTGTCTTGCTCTCTTGCTCCAAGTCACGGCTGGAGTGTCTAGTCCACGGACAAGGGGAAATTGAAACTTCACCATGGACAAGATTCCCTAGAGCCAGGTCTCTCTCTCTCTCTCTCTCTCTCTCTCTCTCTCTCTCTCTCTCTTTCTCTCTGCCTCACCTCCCTTTCCTTATTTCTCTGCCAAGTAGTCCCCAGTAACATAACCCCAGGCTTCAGCCTCCTGTTAGGTAATTTTGAATCCAATGAGACTGAAGTGATATGACTCTAGGGCATGATCCTTTGGGAGAGGGAGCCTTTGGGAGATCCTTTTCCAGTGGCAGGAAGAAAGAAGGAGTCAGCTCTGCGGCCCCCCCCCTCCTCCCAGCGGGACAGGGGAGAGCCTCCAGCCCTGAGCTCAAGTTTCCCCTGTTTCCGGTTTCTCACCACCTATATGACAGCATGCAAATGCTTTCACTCAGCCAGGGGGACCCAAACCAGCCTGGCTATGCCCCCCCAGAATAAAAATTACCTCTGCATTTTCTGTTGCCATGTTTCTGGCTCTAGAAGTATCCGATGCAGGGCTATATCGTAGGATATCCACATATCTCAGAGTAGTCTATTTTTCTGTTCAGATAAAAAGTATATAGGTATATGTGTGTGGTTAGCAAATTTGTAATAGGGCCATTCAGTCTCATTGCCGTTTTGTAATATAGAATAACATCTTAGGAGTTTTATGGTTGGTCATTATCATAGCTGATATTTTCTGGTCTTTTTCATTTCCTCCCATTGCCCCTTGGGTTCTCTTTCTTCCTTTTGGACCTGACTTTCTGGGGGGGGTGGGGAAAGACTTCGGGCTCTGACTTCCTCATGCAGGCATTTCCTGACACTTGACCTAGAGTCTGTGGACACTGTAATTTCCTCGTTCTGTGTGTTTCTCCTATTTATTGTTCTTAAGATTCCAGGGCACGGAGGCAGGAGTAAGACCAGGAGAAGGAGGGCTACGGATGGCCCTCAAAATCAGAATGGCATGTGGGCTGGTTCAGCTCCTCCTCCCCCACCCCGATGGCATTTTGAAGAGGCTGAATTTTCTCATCCCCGGAGATCTTGGGAGGGCCAATCTCACGCAAGCAAACCTCCTGCTGAGGTCCAGAACACACCCAAGCACCCTCTTGGCTGACCTGTTACCATGTCCTGCGACCCACTCCCCTGTAACATCAATTGGATCCGAAGGCCAGAGCATTTTCAGGTTCTTGCGAACCTCAGAGAACATACTGGGCCTCGGATCTCATCAACTTCTTAACTGTTCCTCATTTTAATCCACTTGCAGCATCCTCACCAAAAAAAAAAAAAAAAAAAACAAACCCATAGTAGACAAGCTTGCAGCCAAACCCTGAGAAGATGTGTCCCCTAGAATGTGCCATTGCATCTCCCCCTCCTTTCCCAGCTGCCTGGCTCCATAGCACCAGAGACTTGTGGCGAGGGCAATGGTGTTTATCCAGCTATACCTATCCAGGCCCTGGGGAATTTCTGGACTGTCCTGCTTAATTCCACTAGGCAGCTTTCAGCCTCAGGTGGGCAGAGGACATCTCATGAAGCAGAATCTTCAGCAGAAAGTGATTCTCCACTCTTCAACTCATGCAGGAAGATGAAGAAAGGCCAGATGATTTCAGACTTGCGTTCATGTCTAGGTGTTCATACCCCACCTGCCTCCCTATCAGCTTCAGACTAGATTTTTAAAAAACTTTTGCACAAGAACAAAACAAAATTGTCTCCCAGTAGTTTGCCAGGTTTGATGCCCAGATAAGCAAATAACTCTATTCTGTGGCTGATTTCATCTAGAGAGAGAGAGACTGGGAAGTTTGGGTTTCTATCCACTGCCCCTGCTTTTGTCTTAACCTGGAATTTCTCCTGAACGTCCCCAAATGCCAACTTAAAGAAATGGATTCGGAAGGGGCTCTGGTGAATCTAGCGGTCCCTCGTCTTTTTTTCCCCTCCAGTTCTAACTCTCCATTCCTCTCTGCAAAGATCCTGAAAAGATCTT